CCCTCCATCCCTCCAACCCTCCATCCCTCCATCCATCCATCCATCCATCCATCCATCCATCCATCCATCCATCCATCCATCCATCCATCCATCCATCCATCTGCCTGCCCTGGGGAACCTGTACAAAATTACATTGCTTCTAAGAGAGCTTCCTGCAGAACCAGAAGTCTTTGGCAGAATTACTTACAAGACTAATGTCAGGGAGACGTAGACCACCATTAACTGTTCTGTCCTTGATTCTCTTCTTCTCCACCAAGTTCAACAGCTTTGAGCAGCTCTGCATCAACTTCACCAACGAGAAGCTCCAGCAGTTCTTCAACCACCACATGTTCGTCCTGGAGCAGGAAGAGTACAAGAAGGAAGGCATCGAGTGGGTGTTCATTGACTTTGGGATGGACCTGCAGGCCTGCATCGACCTCATTGAGAAGGTACGTTGTTTCCTGTGGCCTCCATCATAAAACAACGTCTTTTCTGTCATGTCTCGATTATGACCATTGCAGAGCGGCCGAGTCACAGGGCAGGTTGTAGGTAGAAGTGGCCCATCTGGAATCATGTGAAGGTAAAGATTTATGGTTCAGAGCCTCCACGCTGAGCTGGTATGCTAGATTATAGTTGCCATCATCACAGCACCTGTTTCTAAAGCTAACAGTAAACACAGCTACTCTTAGTGTGTCTCCACAGGGTGGATATAGCCAGGTGGCATTTCCCCTTCCGTCGGTGACGTCTTCTCCTCTTGTCCGCAGCCAATGGGTATCATGTCCATCCTAGAAGAGGAGTGTATGTTCCCCAAGGCCACGGACATGACGTTCAAGGCTAAGCTCTTCGACAACCATCTGGGAAAGTCAGCCAACTTCGGGAAGCCACGGAACATCAAGGGCAAGCCGGAGGCCCACTTCTCCCTCATGCATTACGCCGGCACGGTTGACTACAATATCATCGGCTGGCTGCAGAAGAACAAAGACCCTCTCAACGAGACGGTGGTGGGCCTCTATCAAAAGTCGTCTCTGAAGCTCCTGGCTAATCTTTTCGCCAACTACGCTGGAGCAGATGCGCGTAAGGGAAGGGGTGAAAAGGGGGGAGTAGGGGAGATGGAAATGGTGCTTTTTTCTTAGTTTGGTCTTCCGAAACTCCAATCTAGTTCATGAGGTGGGAACAGAACCCAACGCACCTCAGCATCGGGTCATTAGTAGCTATAACGCATGATTTAGCCCACGTGACTCAGTGGATAAAGTCTTAGATCTTTTTGTCTGATAAGAAGGAGATCTTAACAGCTTCATGAAGCCATGAAACAAACTTGGAGCCCTCAGAATGAACACTCTGCCTCACTTTTTATTCTAGACGAGGCGTATCTCACAGGACTGTTGAGGGGGAAATGGGGCTTAGCAAACCATGGTTACTGTGGCCTGAGATCCTCAGAAAGTTAACAGGGAAGGCCATAGCTCAGGAGAGGGGCAATTATGTCAATGTGCAGAAGGTTATATCTGTGGCCTGGGCATCGCCAACTAAAAAAGAGGATCAGGTAAATTGGGAAAAGCTTGGCAAGGCCACTCATAGCTATTGGTAGAAGATTCGGGTTAAATGGACCATTTGCTTTCTATGTTTGACCAATATATCTGTATATAGATTTAGTAACGAATTTTAAGCCAGCTTTTCTCCATGACATGCCCTCTGGATATCTTCCACAACGACCCTGATCATCTTCAGACATCCTCTCTGGTGGCTGTGCTGTGTGCAGACGAGGGGAGCTGCAGCTCAGCTCTCAGTGGGGTTACAAATTAGTGGGGGGACCTACACCCCTTAGGTCTAAAAACATTCTCACGTGCCCCATCGCTGGAGGTGTTCAAGAACAGATGGGACAGCCCTCTGTCCAGGATGGTAGGAGGTCTCTTGGCTTGGGCAAGGGGTTGGACTAGAAGACCTCTTAGGTCCCTTCCAACCCCACGACGATTCTATGATTCTAGGATCTGTTGCTTGATGTCTGTTGTTTCTTCTCTCTACCTCCCAACAGCTGTGGAGTCTGGCAAGGGGAAAATGACTCATAAGAAGAAGGGCTCCTCTTTCCAGACGGTGTCGGCCCTTCACCGGGTAAGGAGACTCCAAGGACTCTTGTGCAGTGGTCAGAAAGAAATGAGACAGCAAGAAGGAGAGTGGGTGGTTTGGGAAATCCACAACGGCTTCTCATGGGGTGCCTCGCTGATGTCCAAGGCGACACGGCTCCTCTCTTCCAAGCGTCCTTTAAGGAGAGACCACCGAACGTTTTCACAGTTAGAACCAAGTTGGGTGTTGTTTGCTTCCAAGTATTAAATTAGTGATGGTGGTTGTAGGTTTTCCAGGCTGTCTGGCCGTGTTCTTGAGGTTTTTATTCCTAATGTTTCACCAGTCTCTGTGGCCGGCATCTTCAGAGGACAGGAGTCAGAACTCTGTCTGTGATCTGGTATAGGACAGTTCAGTATTTGTAGCCGATCACCATAATCACCCCATCTCCTGAAAAGGACAAAAAGCTGATCCCACAGCTACAAATACTACTCAACTATCCCACACACGACACCAGAACACAGACAGAGTTCTGACTCCTGTCCTCTGAAGATGCCGGCCACAGAGACTGGTGAAACATTAGGAAGAAAAACCTCAAGAACACGGCCAGACATCCCCAAACAAAACCCTACAACAACCATCGGATTCCGGCTGTGAAAGCCTTCGAGAATATATTAAATTATTCCTGACTGTCCGCACTTATTTTTCGATCCCATCCTATCCAGCTAAAGCCATACCATCTGTCTGCTTGCTCCCATGCTTCACCGTTCCTTCCTCCCTCCTCTCTTTCCATTTCAATACATCATCCTTCTTTCCTTCTCCAGGAGAACCTCAACAAGTTGATGACCAATCTACGGTCCACCCACCCACACTTTGTGCGCTGCATCATTCCCAATGAGACAAAGTCTCCAGGTGAGATTTCAGGTCTTCTCCTTATAATGTGTTTTGAGGTTCTCCTGCTCCCCATTCTTTCACAGGAATATAATTCTGTGTCCAATCATAACCCCACCGGTCCAATAAGTTACAGGAATGAAAGGAGCAACGTCTGCCCAAGACTAGAAATTGATTGCCAAAACTTAGGTCTAGAAGGATCAATAGTGTTGGACGGTTCCTTATGCTAGCCTTCTCCACTCTGGGGGACCATCAGAGAGATTGGACTCCAGTTCCTATCATCCCCACGCCCTAGAAGATAATGAGCTATTTCTTCCCTCCACACACATCCTTTTTGGTTCTTTTTTCCCCCCTCCCCACATCTCCCTCAGGTGTCATGAATAACCCCTTGGTCATGCACCAGCTGCGGTGCAATGGGGTTCTGGAGGGAATTCGGATCTGTCGGAAGGGTTTCCCCAACCGGATCCTCTACGGGGACTTCCGACAAAGGTGAGCCTCTGCCTCCAGTGGGTGGAAACTGGAGTGTCGCGAACACGGGTTCGAAAACACACGTGTAAGCTTGGACAGAGAGCAATCAGGAGTTTGCACATGCTAAAATGGGCTGAAGAGTCCAAATTCAGCTAGCCATGATACAACACTCCTTCTCGCAGGTCTGCCCACATAAGAACACCCTGGTACTCTCAGATATTATTGTGAAAAGGTCAAGTGGGCTTTGTAGTCTCTTATTAATAATTTCCAAATCTCTTTGGAGATAAGGGGCTGCTTACATGGTGGCAGCTGCGCGATGGACCACGTGCTGGGTTTTGTAGTACCTCAGGATGACCAATTTTTGTTCTATCTGGCAGCTTGAGTGACTCTGATCCACAGCCTTTAGATCTAACTGCTGGCAAACAGCGTTTCCTAGGAAGCTACTGTTTACACCCAGGGAAGCACCTAGCTCCTTGAAGCCTCAGTGTCCCACTGCAATCAAAACTTAGCTTGTGGATCAGAGTCACTCAAGCTGGCCATCACGAATGACTGAAAGGTCGGTCTTGGAAAGACAATGTCTATAGGCAAAAAGTTCCTTTTTCAAGAGTAACTGGCAAGGGCTTAATGCACCTTCCCACGATGTCATTTGGGTTACGGTGGTTTCTCAAAGAGTCACAACAATTCCCATCTATCTAATCACACAGAGTCCTTTCTCAGGCTCTCAGAATAACATTCTCTCGGCTCGCCTGGAAAACACTTGTCAGCATAGCAAAGATACTTTATACAAAGAAACAAAATGGAACCTCTCTGGCTTATTTCTTAATTACAAAACCCATATGCCTTAAAAGATTTTAACTCAAAAACCCATCTCATCACAGCGGCAGGTGGAGGTCATGTTGGGGAGGGGGCTGCCTACATCACGGAAGGCTCACAGCAGAGTGGGAAGCTCCTCGCCCTTACAGGGCAGGGAAACACCCTTCCTAGATCCAGTGTGAAGGAAGGAGAACGCGGAGAGCCTCCAAACTCTGAATTTTGTGATATCGTGAGGCCATGATGTATTCCAGTGGTCCCCAACCTTGGGCCTCCAGATGGTCTTGGACTTCAACTCCCAGAAATCCTGGCCAGCAGA